GGTAACATAGTTTCACCCAGACTACTCACCATTTTACAGCTGTATTTGAGAGGTTAAAAAACCCTCTCTTACATCCACATTAATAATTTTACCCACAGTCTTTGGATATTCATGTCATTTATACCAATTTATAGATGAATAAATGAATATAATGCAACAACATTTGAACAATTAAGAGTCCCAACAGTGTTCAACAATGTCCTCAATGCTTGTGTACTGTTGGATATAAAACAAACAGCAAGGTTTCACTCTTTAAAGTTAAATGATGAAATTCATTTGGAAATGTGTGTGTGGGTTCACTGTTAGAAGAGAGGGTGAGTGACCCCCACACACGAGGGTCTCAAAGGCAGTGGCTTCGATGACTAAATGTGCCTACTCTGTTTTGTTTTGGTAGATGTAACAACACTGTATGTTGTTGATCTTCAACTCTGACATTGATCTCGATGCAGTTTTCTTGGTTTTGGTTTCCCAATAAAAACATTTTAATCTCAGTGGGTTTAACCTGAGGAACTAATCACTAACCTGTTAAGCCCTAGGGATGCTGGAGGGATATGCCTCGCCTAGACAAACATACCCAGAGTAGATCAATAATAGCTCCACAACTATCAGGTCCATTTTCAAGAGCTTGGTCACTATGGATAGGTAAGACCTCAGAGAATTTATTCGATGTGACAGTAACATTGTGACTGTTACTATAGCTCAGTGTATTGTGATAAACCAAAGGAAAAATTAAATTTTTTGTCCTCGCCTTGCACTTCATGACCACAACTGTTACAATGAATGTAGAAATACCACAAAGCACACAAATTCTTCAAAGGTTTTTGTAGGGATGGGACCAGGCGGAATCTCCATTTGGACACTTGGATAGCCAAGGTGCTCAAAGTGTGCCAAAGGTTTTTTTTTTACCTCTTGAAAGGAAATCTGGCTACAAAATACTGATAATTTCCACTATAGGAGGCTATGTGCACACAATACAACCCTTAGCCACTTTACCCTGCGCATCATCAGATTCTACCATTGTGCACCACCATTGTGTGTAAAAAAACAACTAAATTGTATAATTTCGTCTCTGTTTTGCCTCTGAATCGTTTCCAGGGCATTTAAATTGCTATATTATGTTGATTATACATTGTAAAACTGAAAAATAAACATAAAACATACTTTATACAATTTAAAATACATTATATATATATTAAAATTGAATTGGCCGTGCGTCACGTGCAAAATCCCAATCTGCGGTGAAAGTCTCTTGTATTTACCCACGGGTGTAGTATCGCAAGGAAGCAAATCTCATAAGAGTGTGACATACCGTTTGAAACCCGCGAGATGTAGAAAACGATAGCATTGTGTTTTTAAACGGAAGTACCACCAAACGCGCGTTAGATTGTATCAAAAGGCTGTGTATGAAATTTAGACTTGGGGCTCAGTCTCTGCTATCCAGGCCCCCGTCTCGGCCAACTTGACTGGAAAATTGTATGGATAGACTCAAAATGACCAGGAAAGGGTAAGGAAACAATAATCATTGCTTTTGATTACAACGACTTTGGGATGTGATGGAATATTTAGTCATAAACCCAAAATCTGACATGTGGACTGTAAAATGAGAAGTTTGGCCCCGTGTTTGCTTTGGGGCTGACATGAGCTGGTTAGCTCAGGCTATGCAATGCTCGCTATCAATGGAAAGAGTAGCCTCTCTAGTTTCATACGACTCCCAGCATGGTGAGATGGAGTTAGTGGATTACATGTACTGTCGTGTTTCATTTTGACCGTCCGTTTACATTGATAGGGGTCTCATTTTGAAACTGAAATATTGAAATTATTGCCAAACAAATATTCTTTGGACTAAATACACTCTTGGTAGCGTAAAAACCTCATCTTTTAGAAGCATTAAAAAAGAGACCACCACAGCGTTCTATCAACTTTTTATAGGCAATTATGTATCGCACCGTACTGCTGGACTCAGTATCGGGTCCGTTGGGCGGAAGAAGTTAAATGAAATCAATTATTTTCTCAGTCTGATTCATTGAATGAACCTGGCGAAGCTGAACATCCAGAGCAGAACAATACCACCACAGGAGGAGAGTCTGAAATGAAGGATGGGAGGGGTGAAGAGAAACAGACGGGACAGGAAGAGAAAGGTAAAATTTTCATGAAGAACTGACTGAACAAATTATATTTCAGTTTCAAGTTTCAAACACTGTGAAGAATCATGAAAACTTATTAAAGTAATCTCTAATTTGGAGACTTTGACCCTTTCAGCAGGAGAGGCTGATGAAGTCAAAGAGGTTGACACTGTAAGCAGCACCAGCGTTGGTGAGCTGTCTGCAGAGGAGAGTGAAACATTGACGGACACAAGTCCAACATCTCAGACTGTTTCTACAAACATCAAAGATCGTGAGAATCGTTTAATTTTCTTTTTCATTTGTATTAACTTTCAGCAAAATCACAAACAAAACTATGAGAATATTGTTTCAATGATTTCTGTGGTATAACATACAGATGTTTTGTTTGTTTATTTTTGTTTTGTTTTTGTTTTCAGTTATTCCCAGACTCACACTTGTGTTAATTGGTGACCCAGTAAAAGCAAATGCAGGTTTACTGTCTGCTTAGCAAATCTTTCAAAAAGCACTGAATGAGATGCAAGGGCAGCAACAGTCAGAGGATTATCTCTTCAAGTTGACTCAGGCTGCAATGCATAGCAGTAACAGCCAGGCACAAGCTCTCTAAGGCCGTGTTCAGACCTGGCATTGACATATGTATGTGTTGCAGTTGTTTTTAGCCAATTGACAGACGGGTCTGTTGTCAATGTGCTTGTGTGTGTGTGAGTGAGAAAGAGTGAGAGAGAAATAGAGAGAGAGCAGTGCATGGAGGGACTGAGCGAAATAATTTGCCGCGCACAGATCTTATAACGAAATAAAGTTTTATCAATTTTAAATAGTAAAAGATTTTCCATTCATTATGAAACAGTGGTGGACTAACCAGACTGTGTTAGAGGACGTCAGTAGAGTGGGCTGTCCTTCAATGTGGCCTAGGACGCATTAATGTTCACACTGCTAAAAGAAAGTGGCCACATGTGGTCCAGACCACCTCAGAATGTAGTCTGAGTGATCGGATCTCAAATGCGTCCTCAATGTGTCTTGGGTGCATTCACGCCTGTACTTAAAGCTGTCCACTGGTGACCGGATCACCTGAGACCGATGTTAATACCAGGTCTGAACAGGGCCTATATAACACAGAGCCGGTGGCATGCTATGTCTTAAATAAAGGAAGGAGCACTTAAGTTACCAGCCAATTCTGACAGCTTGACTAGATAGCATTGAATATATGGTAAACTGAGGTTTTTACACTTCCGACAGGATAGACTCAACTGGAATTGCTAGCAGCAATACCAAGCTCTTAATGTAAGGCTTAAAATGGTAGCTATTGATAACTGGAGGATGTGTGAAATTACTTTAGCTAAACACATGGACGTTTACTCCTGTGGTGGACTACACTTTTAAATTCTAACCTTTTGCAGTTTTGGCCAAATTATGAATTTAATACAATTATATAATATTTACAATTATACAACAATTATAAATATTGGCCAACAGTACCCAGCCTCCGGTACGGAAAGATTATGCGCTCAAAGTTCTACTGAATAGCACACTTGTGCAACATTAAACACACCAGTAGTTATACTTAAAGACATTTATTTATAATGTAACAACGTAAATCAAGTATACTATACTATCTATGCTGACTAATTAAAGTAATATCTCATATTTATAGACTTGGACCCATTAACAGGTGAGGCTGATGAAGTTAAACAGATACACAATGAAAGCAGCAGTAACATGAGTGAGCGGTCCACAGATGACAGCAATACACTGAAGGACACAAGTTCAACATCTCAGACTGTTTCAACAGAAGGTGAGAAATACTTCACTTCTTTTTTTAAATTGCATCTTTGCAAAATCATTAACATTCAAATTAAAACATATTATATTTATTTGGTGTAAATGAGATCAGACTTGTTGAACTATGAACTTGAACCCTGTAAATATGCACATAATTATTGCAAATAAGTTTTAAAATTAGCCGTGAATGGTTGACCTTTTTTTTGTTCGAGACTGCAATCTACTTGTTGTTAATTTATCCTTCAGTAGATCAGCTGGAGGAGAGAGCAGCAACAAGAGAAGTAAAGGTGTGAGACCTTTTGATCCTCACTAGTCACTGTCAGACATTTTTTTAAATATTGTACTACATTACCTTTTACACATTTCACACTATACGTATGTCACAACTGCAGATTGAAATTAATTCTAAATTGGTGAACCAAAGGTTGAATAAATCACTTGTTTTCTAAGTGTGTTCCAGTGAATGACTCTGGTGATGCTGAACACTCAGAGAAGAATGATGACTGCACAACAGTGGAAGGAGAACCTGAAATCAAATCTCTAATACCATCAGCAACCAAGGAGAAAGGTAACATATTTAATTTACAATGAGAAGAATCAGTGAAAATAAAATTAACTATGCTTTTACCAATCGATCACTATCAAAGTTTGCAGTGAACCTTAGTAAAATAAACTGCTTCAACAGGACATTGATCTGGCCCCCTGGTTCATTTTTCTTTTGTAGGCACCTTAGATATGGATATGAGTGGACACAAGAATAAGGTAAGAAACTCCCATTTTCTTTCACAAGTTCTGAGTACTATTTACTTTGTTACATTGAGTGACTTTATATTTTTTATGTACACTAAATGAGTATTTATCTATATTTCCAGCAGTCAGTGAAGATCTCTGAGGAGATCAACAGGAAGAAACAATGCCAAAGAGAAACGGAAACGTTGCTTCACAGACTTCACCTTCAAGACAAACAGAATTTGTCTCCAGCAGATTTTCTTAAAATAGGTCCACCAGTGAAACAGGACCATGAAACATCTGAGGAAGATCTAGCTCATACTTTTCTTCAGAGGTTGATGATGTTAGACTACAGAGCCAGATATATTCCTGTAAGACAGGACAGTGCTGAGGTGAGCCATTCGAATCTTCCAGAGCTTGATTCTTCAAACACAAAAGAAAGTGTTTTAGATGCATTTTTTAGCACCAACGTTGACTGTGATCAATCAGATCAGACTCATGTTCATCCGATGGACGTTCAAATGGCAGTATTTCACTGCTCAGACAGCTTCCTTAAGCAGAACATGATGACAAAGCTGTCACAGTGTCAGTACGCCTTACCTTTGCTTGTTCCTGACCCAGTCACACTGGATGTTGAGTGTCCTCTGTGGACATTCAGACAAATAAGAAAAACCTGGAAGATAACTAAAGTCAAGGGTGATTCTAACATTGTCACCATGAAGAGTTTGCCCATCTGCAAAGCTGAGACACCCATGGTGTCATTTTTCCGCCTGGGTTCAGTGTCAGTGTCTAAATCTCAGCTGATGAACACTTTGATCAATGAGCGTCACAACACCTTCTTCCACAGAAACTGCCCAGGTAGCACCAGATCTCGCCTTTTGATGGATGGTGTGGCAGAGATTGCCTGGTACTGTCCTGCTGGAAAACCCAACGATGCCTTCACTGACTGCACTGCCTTCTGTAATCTTCATGGTGATGCTCTGTCCATTGAAAAACAGCGTGAGATACTGACTGAAAAATCTTCAGTCAATGTTGTTCTGTTACCAACTCCGGAAAAAGGTAGCAAAAGTGCTGAAGTTATCTCAGATCTTCTTGAGTCTCCAAAGCCTCTGATTTGTCTCATTACTGATAATGATTGTGGTGCAGTTCAGATGAAAAAGGGAAAATATAAAATGGGTCTAAAAGACAGAAGCCAGTCAGATGTTTCTGAAGAACTGAAACGGATCATTAGAGAGATCTTGTCTGGATCACAAACGTCCTTCCAGCTTGAAACCATGGCCGAGGTCTCTGGGATCAAAGTGGATGAAGTAGACACAGTCTGTCAAAAAGGGAAATCTGCTGCTATGAAATTAATGAATGCTCTTCAGAAGATGGATGTTTCAAAAATCAAAGATAAATTCCTCCCTTGTCATGGCCGACTGTGGCATGAGTGGTGCAGAATAAACAAGATACAGTATCACCTCAAGGGACATGTTGAGGAGGAGAAATGTAAAAGGCAACAGGAACTGATAAAAATACGAGAAGAACAATGTGATGCTTCCTGTAGTGAACTGGTGAAGTTGTTCATTGAAAGTCTCTCATCTTTGACATCAACAGACAAAGAGTATTTCCTGAAAGGGACTCAGATCTTAATAGACGCCCTCTCCACAGACGATCTCATATCAATTCTCCAAAGCTATGATAAGAAGTGGTCTGAGGTCTTGGCTCTGAAAAAGAAACACGACAAATCTGATCTGTTAAAAAGAAAACAAAATGAGCTTGAAGAAATATCAACAAAACTGCAGTCAGCAACTTTTGGCTTGGAGCACATCTTTAGAGAAATGGGGCAGATCTATGAAGCCCATGAATCTCTGCAGAAACAAACAAAGAGGAGTCAGACTGACTGGTCTAAATACCCTGAGCTGGCTGCAGAGCTGATGATATCAGGACACCCCATGGAGCTGATGGATGGTGATGCAGGTCATGTGCCTTTGACATGGATCTCTAGTCTTTTAGAGGAAGTCATCAAGAGACTGGGTGACCAGAGAGTGTTTGTGTTGTCAGTTTTGGGCATACAGAGCAGTGGAAAATCAACAATGCTGAATGCCATGTTTGGGTTACAGTTTGCAGTGAGTGCTGGCAGATGCACCAAGGGTGCCTTCATGCAGCTGATCAAAGTTTCAGAGGAGATGAAGAGGGACTTTAAGTTTGACTACGTGCTGGTGGTGGACACTGAAGGACTGCAAGCTCTTGAATTAGCAGGTAACGCTGCTCTTAACCATGACAATGAACTGGCAACTTTTGTTGTTGGTCTGGGAAACATGACATTGATCAACATCTTTGGAGAGAATCCAGCTGAGATGCAAGATGTTCTGCAGATTGTTGTTCAGGCTTTCATGAGGATGAAGAAAGTCAAACTTTCTCCAAGTTGTGTGTTTGTTCACCAGAATGTGACAGATATTTCAGCTGCAGAGAAAAACATGGAGGGAAAGAGACGCCTGCAAGAAAAACTGGACCAAATGGCGAAACTTGCTGCCAAAGAGGAGGTTTGTGATGCAGAGTGTTTCAGTGACATCATTGCATTTGATGTGCAAAAAGATGTGAAATACTTTGCCCAGCTTTGGGAGGGAAGTCCACCTATGGCTCCTCCAAATCCAGGTTATAGTGAGAGCATCCAAGAGCTGAAGAACTTCATTCTCTCTAAAGCTTCACAGTCTGCTGGGATTACTCTGTCACAGTTCAAAAGCAAAATTCATGACCTGTGGAATGCCCTGTTGAAAGAAAACTTTGTTTTCAGTTTCAAAAACACACTTGAAATTGCAGTCTACAGAAAACTCGAAGTCCAGTACGGGAATTGGACGTGGGCTCTGAGAAAAAACATATTGACCATTGAAAACCAGCTGTATAACAGAATTGAAAATGGAAAACTTGACAAGATTGAGCTCAGTTATCTTTTTAAAGAAATGAGCAAAACATATGGAGAAATCAAAAAAGAAATTACATCTTACTTTGATGATGACAGAGACAAAGAAATGTTGGTTCAGTGGCGAGGCACATTTGAAAGCAAAATCAAGGAGTTTCATGAAGAACAGGTGAGAGGAGTGAAAAGAAAACTGGATGAAGTTATCCAGCAGAAGAAGGCTTGTAAAAAGCTTGATGATCAAAAGACAGAGTTTGAGAACAAGCTGCTACAGAAGAGCAAAGAGCTCGCTCATCAGTTAAAAGACAAGACACAAGATGAAGAGGAACTTAAACAGCAGTTTGACTCTGTTTGGAGAGACTGGGTGAGAGAACTAACTGCAGATACAAAACCTATTGAAGACATCAACTTGGAGGAAGATCAGTCAACTATCCTTCAAGAGCTTGGTATTGAATGGACTCTTATTGATGAATCCAAAATCAGTGGCAGATACAAAAACATATCAGGGGTTGGGGATTACTTTGATTATGTGGCACTCACCAAGTATCAGGCGCTTTGTGACGAAAGCCAACAATCAGAAGATGAGAAGAGGGTAAACAAGAACACAAAAGTTCAAGGAGGATATTCATGGAGAACTCCATTGGTGTCTTTTAAAACATTTTTTAGATTTGCGTCAACACAACAAAAAGAATTACATACATCAAGCAACTCTTTACCATATGAAGAACAAAAATGTTTCAGATCCTTCATTGATGAAGTTGAAGAACAGACTTTTGACATAATCAAGAACAAACCTGCAGCTACAAGAGGCTACAGTCCAACTTACTTGCAAGAAGTTGCCAAAAATGTCAAAGAGAAAGTGGCAGAATTTGAATCAGAGAGGAAATTTGCTCTGAAGAGGGAGTTTACAGTTGAACTCTTACTGTATGTGTTTGACATAGCAGGGACTTGGCTTTCAGAGTCCCACGAGAAATTCAAGAAGAAGAATGATGCGCGTACTCATTTAGAAAGCAAGAGGGATCAATATTACAACATTTTCAGAAGCTTCTGTAAAGGAAACTCTTCTGCTGTTGTACTCGGAGAACTGATCTGTGAAAAACTGAAGGTTTCCACTGTTGAGGCTGTCTGTAAAAAGACTGTCATTGATCTAGCTGGAGAGATGAAGTGCAGTTTCCCAGCATTCAATGGGAACAGACTGAACCTGGAGAAACATGTGTTGAAGTCACTGGCAGAGAAAGAGGACTTCAGTGGTTTCATCACCTACATCCGACACCCAAGGAAACATGTGGAGAGGTTTATAAAAGAGGAAGTACAGAAATACATCTTCACATCACACAAAGATAAAGCTCGGGATATACTCAAGAAAAATGTTGAAGACATGAAACAACATGTGAGTCAGGCTTTATTTACTGCAACAGAGAAAGTCAAAACCCAGAGAGGAGACACAGACATGTGGCTGGAGGAATTGTCCACTTTGCTGAAAGATGAGTTGACATTTGATGCCGTTTGTTCTCAAAACTTAAGAGACATAAACAGTTTTGACTTTCTCAAAGAAGAGATAGAGAAAAGCCTTGAACCCATCATGGAGGAGATGATCAGCCTCTCACTGGATATGATGAAAAAAGTTAGACTGAAGCCTGATCAAATCCTCATTGATCAGCTGTGCAAGTGCTGCTGGGTAAAGTGTCCATTCTGTGCAGCTGTTTGCACCAACACCATGGAAAATCACAGTCCTGATGACCACAGTGTCCCTTTTCATCGCCCTTCTGGGATCAATGGATGGCACTATAGAGGCACAGTGGAACTGGATGTGGTTTTCTGCACAACAAATGTTGCAAGTGATGCACATTTTTTCCCTCATCATGATTCAGAAGCAAGTATTCCATTTAAACAGTACCGAACTGGTGGTCCAGAGTTTAAAAACTGGAGAATTACCCCTGATGAGTCTAAACTGACATACTGGAAATGGTTTGTGTGTCGATTTCAAAAACAACTTGAGCAGCACTATGAATTAAAATTTCAGGGCTATGGTAAAATTCCCAGTGAGTGGCAAAGACTCTCCAAGAAACAAGCTATTAAAAGTCTGGATGAAATGTACAATCTGTGAATGAACCAACACAACTACTTGTTTTCAGGTGACTATTCATGAACCAGACTCCTATAGAAGGACATTCACAGACTTTTATTGATCGTATTTAAGTAATAAATAAATGTGGATAGTAAATGAATCATTACAAATTACAACATATACCATATGATTGCTTTATTCATATTAATTCTTAAAACACAGAGCACAGAAGAACAATAGTAATCTGGAGAACAAGCAAGGCATAAAAACCCATACATTCATATTAATATTAAATCAGTGTGTCCTCTACAAAGTTAGTTAGTGTGAAATTCTTGATATGATAAAAGTTTCCATGAAGGTGAAACCAAAGAAAATATGTTGTTTTTTATCTGTTCTTTTTTGAAGTTTTATTAAATCAGAATACATGACATTTGAAGTTCATTGAACATGATTATGAAAAGGTTGATGAGAGACATGTCAGAAATGATCATCTTCAAAGTTGGTTAGTTTGAACTTAATGATGAGAAACGTTTCCATGAGGGTGAAACAGAAGACAATATGTAATCTTTCCATTTGTTTTTTTGAAGAGACAAAGAGAAATTATGAATATGATGCATGTATTGATGAATATTTTGATTCATTTTATTGATGAAAATACATGAAATCTGAACTTTTGAAGTTCAGTGATCATGGAAAGATGAGTGAGAAGGTTGATGAGAGACATGTTGTCAGATGATCGACTTCTTACAACAAAGAATGGAGGGTATATTTCTTTAACCTGTGTAATTCATTTCTAAAACTTAAATCTAAAAATCCTGTTAAACAAGTTTTGCCTATTTGTATCTTTGTAAATCTTTACATTTTAAGTTGAATCATGTTAACTGATCCAGGATGCTTTATGTTGAAGACGTATTTGAAGTGTTCAGTTGTGTTATGTTAATCTCATTTAAAATAATCTGTCATTATATCTACAGCAGCATGAGTTTTGTTGTTTTGTTGTCAATGTGAGGAAAATATTTCTAAAGGATTTTATCATTTATTAAACTGATCATTCAGTGACGACACAAAAACACCTGTTAACTTTAACCTTTCATGTTATTAATGAGCATAATAAAAATAACTACATCATATCTATTGAAAGACCATGTTTCTTTTTTGTTTCTCAAATGACAAAGTTTTAATTTCCACCTTTGAGACCTGACATCTGTTTGTAGAAGACCCCACCTTTTGTATCTGATCCATGGTTCATAGTAAAATCATCTTCCTAACTGTTTCTATTTGATAACACCTGAAAATCACCTCATGTCTATTTGACTTTGTCTCAACCTGATAAGAAAATCCCACATGGTTCTTAAGCTTTCTGCTACATTGTCTGCACATAGGTGTCACGCTTCTGTTCTCTGGCTGATCATTTTTCTATCCCAGTTTCCCAGCATGTATGTTTTCAGTCACAGATGACATCAAATGCAGGCAGCAGTAAAATCCAGTTACAGATTGTGACTTCTGATGTATCTGAGATGATTTCTAAAACCAGGTTTCACAGGGACTCTCAGTCAACTGTTCCTCTGTTTGTATGTGATCTGGTGCCTTGAAGGAGAACTGCCAGGTAACACACATTTTTCATAGACGGCTTCAATAGTAATGTAGAGGCTCATTGGCTGACTTCAGCATTTCAACTTGTCACAGCATAAACTATACAATGTATATCCTTTATAAAAGACTGTCACATTTTAACCAAATCTGATCTATTTTAACCTAAATATCTTTTCATCTTCAACACAGTGCAACAACAACAGCTGTTCTTTGCAGAAAGTGGCGTCCACATTTAAACAGGATCCAGTTTAAGGAGTTTATTTCCACAGTTCAGGAAGTTCACTGGTTCTTGGTTGTCTTTGTTCTCCTGGTTTGGAGGAAAGGGCTTGCATACAGATGGGTGGGGTTATATAACCTCTGGGTGTGGTTAATGGGGTGACGTGATTTGCAGGCAGGTATTTGCAGGTGTTAGACTTGTGATTTAACACTAGAGTTAGAATGAATTCAAGTACATTAATGTCCAAGTGAACGTCATTCCTAAGTGTTCTCAACTGTCTGTGAAGAACAACTGTTGTATTAGAAAAAAAAAAAAAGATTTACCAAAATAAAATACAAACGAATTGTGTCTTTATTGCTGTCACTTTTATTTGAAGACAATATCAAAAACCTAAAATACTTCAAATCAAATTAACATCAATGTATAATTGTTTCAAGATGGATGATGCTGTATTTGTTTGTTTCCTCTAAATCTAGATCATCACAGAATGAGCAGCAAGTCTTAGTTTCACTTTCTCAGATCGTCAGGCCTCTCACATCACATCTGATTTGTTCAGAGCAGGTGGGAGGGGTATTTGAGGGGCTGACCCAGAATAAAATCCTCTGATCAGTATTTAAAGAACAGTTAGGATTCATAATAAAACAGGTTCATCTACACAGATCAGACTGTGAAGAGAAAAACACAATACAAAGGTGAGTTTGTAAATTTTTATAACGTGTTTGTGTAAATATGTAAAAATCAGTGTATGTACAGTTTTTATAACAGACATTGACTGTTTAGACACAAACCTCAGTTTCATACTTTGATATTTTTTCTTTAAATCTTGACTGCTCTGTGTTGAAGAGGTTTTATTTAGTGTTTATGCTTGCTGTGCAGAGACACATTTAGTTCATCTTCAAGTGTGATCGTGTGAACTACTACGGTCAAGCCAGCCATTACTCTCGTTTCCGTGGTGAAACCAGTCGTTCCTGGATTTTGAGTGTGTAATTTATCTCACATTTACAGTAGTTGCACTTAAACAGCTCTAGGGAGCTGCTGGAAATGACTTTTGAATACAGTCTCACATGTAAAAAGATATTAATGTAATACGTTCACATTAATTATTCCCATAAATGACTTGTAGGAACATTGAATCAAAATGGTGCACTCGAAATACAGGAATGACTGGTTTCACCACAGAAACGCATATGACAGCAGCTTGACCACAGTTATGAACTGGGAGTGTCAAATATTTTTTACTTTCTGCTTTATTCTTTTTCTCCATTCACTTTTGACGTTGAACACCATTTTGTCTGTGTGACACCTTGGTTTAGTTTTCACAAGGCGGAGTTGTGCAAGACCTTCAAGGTGTTCACCAAAATATTTTATGTTAGATGTTGTACTTTTACAAAGAGAAGGCCTAGATTTTATATTCTCCTGATCAAATAATTTTCTGAATTGGTTTGAATGTAACATGCATTTTCCAGTAATAGTTAATTATCACATTTTTCTGTATGGCTCTGTCTTACAAATATAGAGATGAGCAGCCATCGAGATGGAGGTGGAGAACCATGATAAGACAGCAGCAGGAGGAGGAAGAGGATCTGAAATCAAATCTGCAATGTCATCTGTGACAGATGACAAAGGTAATTTCAAAATTTCATAATATAAACTGTAGTTTTCCAAAGAATGAAGCCTTAGCTTGACGCTCTAATCAGTCTCTACGTCTTAATCCACATCAAAAATTCCACAGGACCACTCCATAAAGTTGAGCTGCTAACTTCAAAACAGACAAAAAATAATACAAACATTGTCCATTTCCAAAGTTGTCAAATAATTACCAAAAGTGAGAGAAAGAAAAAGAGAGAGAGGTCCAAAAACTGTGTGGCTCCACTCTCAGCTTGCCTAACTAACCTGATTTCACTCCCTGCCCCTCCTTTTACAGGAACACCAAAGCAATTCAGGTGCGAAGTAATTAAAAGGCAATTACCTTATTCTTTTAAATTCCAAACGTACCAATTGAAATTCTATATTTTAAACCATCCACACACCCTTTTTAGTGACATAAATAAACAATTAACTTATATTATTGTAAATATTATAAATATTAACCACAAATGATTTAACCTGTAAATAATGTAAATAATCCTTAAATTTCTTTTATCAATTACTGTCTATTATTGTTATGCCATATATGAAATGAAACCAATTTGTCCAACATCGATTAAATGCATTTAGGCTCCTACATTACTGCCCCATAATTGTTATCAATGTTCTTGAAACAATTACTCAACTTAAATGAGCCTACATGCTGTGTTACTTAATTAAAGTCCAACTGTCCAAAGAAGTTTACTTCTTGTTCTTAGTGTCATTCAAACGAGACCTCAGCTTCAGAACAGTTTGTCAATTGTCCTCAGATTCTTGAAGAAGACATTGCTTTGTTATTGGCGACAAAGCTAATTGGTCTTGGTCTTGACTTTTACCTGATGAACAAGGACTTTTATTGTTGGGAAAGGTCACAATAATTCTTCCTTGTGACCATGAATTTTCTGGGTGCTGTGTCGGACACAATCAGCACCACATCACCTACACAGACGTTGTGAGGTATTCTCTGCACTAGTGTTTCCAGAAGATGTCTGCAAGATACTTGACTTGTCTCCATCTGCGGTTAGCGTACTGATCATCTTTGTTGAGTACTACTTGTGGTAACGGAGACATGACCTTGAATAAAACAAGTGGTTCAGAGTTAAGGCCTCTAAATCATTGAGATCTGAAGATGCCTTTGTGACCTGTGGCCTGCTGTTTATGATGGCCTCAGCTTCACACAACAATGTATGGAGACCTTCTTCACCCAAAAATTGTTCCTTTACTGTGATGTTCAGGATTTTTCATACTGAATGGATCAGCCGCTACCGGCTTCCTCCGTAGTGAGAACCTGCAGGAAGATTGAAGTACCATTGGACACCCTTCTGTTGCAAGTGTGTTGCGATCTTGTGGGTATTCCATGCTGAAATTGATTTCCTCAACTCACTGTCAGGCAGGCACTGTTAGTTTCCCATTATATGCCGTTACAACTGGTAGATGTTGAGGAATTTAGCTAATGTCATCAGGCGGATTCTGCCTTTTATTGTTTAGCGACCAAAACAGTTTACAAATACAACACAAAGGAATCGCATGAGGCGAAGAACAAAGGGGAAAGGGCAGCGGGTGGCGCCAAATCATTAAAAAAATAAAACAAACCCTGCTTCCTAACCCAACCAATCCCTACTACTACAGAAGAAAACAAACAAAAAGAAAAACCCTACCTCCAATCTTACCTGCCAGCACAAAATACAATCTAGCAGCCACCCATAAATTGTAATGTTGCTAGACTGAAAATAAAATAGACATGAAAATAACACGTTAAACTAAACTTAACTAAATCCTAGAGCCCATGATCCCGCAACTACCAAACTAGTGCCACAACGAGTCAACATCACTTAACAATCACAGCTATCAAAGTTAACTCCTGAGGAGATACGTAACTATCACACACGTCGACACTTTCAACAAAGAGGCACAGAGGCAGACTGCTCAGATCAAATCACAGCCGCCCCTGACATTTCCACGAGGCAGCTTTTATACGGTCGAGGACAGGACCAGGCAGCCTTTTGATAGGCAGCTGGGACCAGGTTCGCAACAGGGGATGGACCAGCCGACAACGAGGAACACCTGAGCACAGATACAGAGGGGCGTTGCGCAGGCGTAGACGAGGAGGAAATCCACTTCTGGAGTAGCGGATGACAGGTCAACC